GAAGTAGGTTGATCCAGGCAGTGTTTGAAGATGTCAGCAATTGCGACTTTATAGGTTTTGAAGGGCAAGTGTTTTTCTAGAGATAATGAAAGAATTAGGTCGATCTGAGCAGTGGCCGCCGAGAACGAGAATTTTAAATAGTTAAGCGATTTCAGGTTACTTAGTGACAGCTGACGTTCAGACTCTTATAAATCTGGAATATGAAGGTGTGCAATGTTGCGACTTCATAGGTTTTGTGGAGTAAGAATTGCTCTATGATATATTATGTCTTAGCCGTACCAATCCATCAAGATACCACCGAGATTCAGGCTTTCAAAAAACAAGTGAAAAACCGCTTTTTGAACTTAAACAGCTCATAACTTTTTAAGAATTGCATGAATTATGTTGAGAATTCATAGTTTAAATTCTTCTCATCAAGAGCTTTTAGATGATATATGATATGGGGGGGGGGGATTTCAATGATTTTTGCAGCTCTAACCCGGGGTGGAGATTTTTCACCCCAAAGTTTCCACCTCGCCCATGTTGATGTATTGGCCAGAGACCGCTAGTGGAGACTTTGGGGTGAAAAGTCTCCACCCCCGGGCATGTGCCGTGAGAAGCGCGATACCCCTACATGTTATATATCATCTGAAAGCTCTTGATGAGGAAAGTCTGACCTATGAAGTTGCAACATGATTCATGCAATTCTGGAGCAGTTATGAGCTGTTGAAATCCAAAAAGCGTTTTTTCACCTGTTTTTTAAGAGCCTGCATCTCGGCGATATCTCAATGATAGGTATGACTAAGGCACAGTCTGATAGAGCAATTCTTACTGTACAAAATTTATGAAGTCGCAACGCTGAACACCTTCCCAATGCAGATTTATAGGATTCTGAACATCAGCTGTCACTAAGCAACCTAAAATCGCTTAACTTTTTAAAATTCTCGTTTTCGGCGGCCACTGCTCAGATCGACCTAATTCTTTCATTATCTCTAGAAAAACACTTGCCCTTCAAAACCTATGAAGTCGCAATTGCTAACATCTTCAACCTCCAGATTCATAACAGTGGAAATTTCGCATGATTTTTTCGCTATTTTAACATTCGAAATTCTGGTTCTCGGCGGTTACTGCCTAGATCGACTTACCACATAGATATAATGTTGTCAATACTTTCTTTTGCGTTCCTTTTGCCTATTTTCCTTCTTTTAAGCTTCAACAAAAAATTTTCTCAAACCTAAAAGTGAAGGTGGATGGTCACCCCGTACCAGCTCAAAGGTGAAGGTAGGCGGAGACTCGGCTCCGACTATTGCACCTCTGGTCGTACTCCGCTGCTCTGCGAACGCACTCTAGCGCGCTCAGGCGCCCTCTCGCGCTCCACGCACTACAGCGCACTGTGGCGCAGTCCGCTAAAGTGCGGCGACTTTTTTTTGACGGATTATGAGCGCTATTGTATGCATGGTGTTTGCGTCCCATTTCTTGGATTTCTGGACTATTCTTGCTTTGTTGAGTACATTAAAATCCATGTGATTGTTGTTGATTTGCCGGTTGGTACTATTGACAACATATTTGCGAGTATGGAAGCTATCTGGGCCTGTAGTAAACTCCACACGAGTCGTGACGACTCGCTCGGAGCACGGCAAGTGCCCGGCAATTGCCTTTTTGGTGCCTTCCCTTCTAATAAGGGATGGGCGACGTGACCGAGGCTGCCCGGCGTAACGCTGCGGCAACGCCGCCGGCACAACAAGGCAGCACCAGCGTGCACGTCGTGCAGACAATCAGGAAATGCAGAGAAGTCGTGGTGCCGACAAACGACTAGCGTCGAGTACGTCTGGGGTGGTGGTGCGTCCGCTGTCCGTAGATGCACGCAAAGGATCAAAATGTACGTCAAATACAATCAATATGAACAGGATAGCGCACAGACGCGAGTCGCACAGCTAATTTTTTCCCTGCTATCTTTACTTCTGATATTTGTCTCGCAACCTAGACAAGGTAAATCGATTTTGATAAGCATGCACCTTCGGGTCCTTTTCACCAAATTTGCTTCTCTTAAGCGTTTTTAGCTTCGATTTGTTTTGCAACCACTTTGCTCTTGATACTTTTCTGCATGCCCTAATTTTATAATTTCTTGCAATTTATGCACTTTTCATCAAAACCGTTGTCTTTTTTTTGCTTTTCACTAGCTGTGCACCGGTTGCTCTTTTTTTATTTGAGTAAGAAAACGATTTGGTGCTATGACTAATGAAATAGCATAATTTGTAAATTTTCAATATACAGGGTGTCCCAAAAAAATGTTTAAAACGTTTGATCGTTAATATCTCTCTTCCCAAGAAGTCTTTTGCCTTGCTTCAGGTATCGTTTGTAGAGCTGGCTTCAACTTAGATTTCCATTATAGAACGAATCACCCATCTCTATTCATTACTGTAGGGTTACGGTAGAAACTTCAAAGAGGGTTTTGAACCATGAAAGGCCATATTTTGCCTCAGAAAGGAAACAAAACAGCCTGAAAACTTTTACACCAGGCTAATTAAAATTGTTGATTATAACTGTAAAGTTCCCAACTTATCATGATGCTTCATTGAAGAGTTATGCCAGGTGAGAGGTAGCGGCCTTTTTTTCAATGCTCCTAAAAAGTGCGATTACACCGTTTAGAAAGCTTCGTAATCTTGTGAATAGTTGAGTAATGAACTCAGCGTCTATAAAAACCCTATTACACAAGTTTTCACAATTTTTTGAAAAATTTTGAAACCGCAGCTTTTTCCACATTGACACCATATGTTTCAAGTTTCTACCGTAATCCTACAGTAGTGAAGAGAGATGGGTGATTCGTTCTATAATGGAAATCTAAGTTGAAGACAGCTCTACAAAACGGTACCTGAAGCAAGGCAAAAGACTTCTTGGGAAGAGAGATATTAACGATCAAACGTTCGAAACATTTTTTGGGACACCCTGTATTATCAATATTTTGTTTGCACGCTGACGTCCAAAAGCCTTTCAAGTCCTTATAATCACTAAAAAAACTTAACATGCATGTGTTTTTTCACATCACTTTGCAAAAAATCTGCAGTCATTGTGGCTTGTGTTCGAGACTCTAGCTCGGAAACGTGCGACCCAGGCACTGCGCTACTCGCAGTGATATTTCCGTTTAGATATCGCAAACCTAGTGTTTACGATAGCAACGTGATAGCTGTATGTTATACTTGGGTAATTCGATAATTTTTCATCGAATGAATGAATATCGAATAAATTCGAAAGGGAAAAATATCGAATAAACGAATATCGAATAAATTCGGGAAATTAAAAATATCGAATGAATGAATTTCGAATAAATTCGGAAAATCAAAAATATCGAATGAACGAATATCGAATATATTCGAACATTGGAAGTCGAATTTCGAATAAATATTCGAATGATTTATCGAATAGCTAAAGCAGTCACATCTGAAACTTGCCACATATCTGGCTAAAGCCGATCCAATCATAATCAGCCCCCTAGTATCCCCTATACCAACTCCTAGCAAATTTTCCAAAAATTGCTGAAATCAATAAAATAGATTTCGATTTTAATCAGCACCCTCACTTACCCCATTGTACCAATTCCCAACCTCGTAGCTCAAGATTTTCCAAAAATCGATAAAATCAATAAAGTAAATTTTTATCCATAATCAGCACCCTCACTTACCCCCTTGTACCAACTCCGAACCTCGTAGCTCAAGATTTTCCAAAAATCGATAAAATCGATAAAGTAAATTTTTATCCATAATCAGCACCCTCACTTACCCCCTTGTACCAGCTCCGAACCTCGTAGCTCAAGATTTTCCAAAAATCGATAAAATCGATAAAGTAAATTTTTGTTCATAATCAGAGAAGAAATAATAATAATTCATAATCAAAGAATTCAGAATAATAATTCATAATCAAAGAAAGAAGAACAGCCATTTCAATTCAGTATGAGCTCAGAACATGAGCTTGAATTTGACATCTTCTTTGCTGATTTGGTGCCAATAGCAGTGCGAATCTCATTGATCAAAAAAACATCAATTAAAATCCAAATATGATTTTTCTTACTGTCGCAAGCAGTCGGAACAGGGCCTGGCACGAGCTTGTCAAAAGGGGTTTTCGAAAACGAATTCTTCTTTGACCCCAAAATTAATCCCAGTTGTTCTGCAGTGAACACTTTACCCCAAGAAAAAACATTTATTGAGGAAAAAATCAACAAAAAAATCAAAATCAACAAATCAAATTGAAAAAAAGAGATCAGATGAGAGATTTCAAGTGAGATATCAATGTGAAATGGACCGGTAGTAGTTGAAAACGGGGAGGGAGGGGGAGCGCGGGGGGGGGGGGGGGGAGAATTCGTATGCTCACATTCTGAAACCTCTCACTCAATCATCCTCAGCCCCAAGTAATGTACACCCTCACATTCTGAAACCTCTCACTCAATCATCCTCAGCCCCAAGTAATGTACACCCTCACATTCTGAAACCTCTCACTCAATCATCCTCAGCCCCAAGTAATGTACACCCTCACATTCACCTTTATCCTCAAATACTCCATTCCCACACCCACTCTTGAATTCACTCTTCTCACTCACTCACTTTCCCCCCTCAAAAAATCAAAGCGCAAGCTAGTGCTTGCGCTTTGATTTTTTGGACCTCATTGAGGCCACCCGAGAGGCGCGTACGCGCACGGAGTAACGGCGAGGAGGCTCGTCGCCACAACAGCAGCCAGTGCACTGGCAGCTGTTGTGGCGGCAAGCTTCCTCGCCGTTACTCCCGCCCTGGGGGCCTCAATGAGGTCTCCCCAGCCCCCGCGACCCCCCTCACCCCCAAACGTTCCCCCCTATAACGACGCGAGGCTTGGATGTAATTGCATACATCTGATAAGAAGGAAAACGCTCGAAACAACAAAAATTTCACAATATTCATTGCCTCATGTACTACTGCCCCCGTGATGAGATCGGCGATTCCGACCGTGGACCAGTCGATCCCCCCATAAATACACTGGTTCACGGTCGGAATCGCCTACCTCATAGAGGACGCGTTTTCTCTGCGCTCTCTGAAGAATTTGAAATCTCGGTCCACCGCCTGTGCAACCGCTGGCGTGGAAAGCAATATGACGAATACTGAAAAAGCAAGAGTCAAGAGGAAAAGAATTTTCAAGAAGCTTACCTACTATCATAATTCCGGAGAGCACGTTGAAATGAATGTTGTCAAAAATGTTGCTAGGATTGTTATGAGTATGCTGTCCAACATTCTCGCAATCAGTGATTGTACGGTGCCTCACCTTAAAAGGATCTCATTATTAGCAAATATAATTAAAACATTCCAATACATGAGGCAAAAGTACCTTAGGTTTTGCCGCAGTACGTTTCACACAAACAGCTGCTCCAACAGAGGATGTCGAATTGATGTGGCAGCGATCAATCACTGGCGAAGCTTCTTCTGTCACCTATATTCACACGGATATGATCAAACGACATCTGACAGACATATCTCGGTGACAAATGACTACGTGCCTGAAGGGCGTAGTGTTGCAGATGTGGTACAGCTGAAGGTGCCTTGTCAGGGTTGAATCTCAGCGTCAGATAGCCTATACAAGCGCCAGTTGAGCCTTCTACTAGAGTCACAGTCGTATCATTACGCTGCTCTACCACGACTGCCTTGTTGATGGGACACTGAGAGCCTAAACACCAGCCATTGACTACCAAACAGCAGAGATATATTACAAATCTAAACAAATTCGGCACAATTCGAGGATACAGAAGGAGATCCACGATTTGGCCGGCGCACAGCAAGATCATGCAATTGGAAAGCGCGATCGCTGTACAAACAAGACCTTGACACTGTTAGCACGGCGCGTACAAATTGTTGGAAACTTGAATAATCTCGAAGTAGTTTGTCGCGATTATTAGGCAAACGCATACTTGTTATCAACAATTTTCATTGATTGATTTACTCGGTACTCGATCTTACGGCATCTGTCCTCTGAGTACTTTTCGTCATTCTACCGATACGAGAAAAAAATTGGCTATATAATGTGAAAACAGCAGAGGTAATTTCTACAATACCGCTCATAATTCGTCAAAAAAGTCGCCGGACTGCGGCGGAGTGCGCCGGAGTGCGGCGGAGTGTGGTGAAGTGTGGCGCAGTGCGCCGGAGTGCGGCGGAGTGTGGTGAAGTGTGGCACAGTGCGCCGGAGTGCGGCGGAGTGTGGTGAAGTGCGCCGCACTCCGCCACACTCCGCCGCAATTCGGCGACTTTTTTGACGAATTATGATCGGTATTGTATATGAAGTGAGTGGAAGGAAATATACATATATTAGGTGTATAATAACATCAAAAAGTGGGCGGGGCTTACAGTTCACAGCTGAACAGCGGTAAAATCGATGTTTTGAGCTTAGAGAACTATCAAACCTCAAAAATCGATAAAATCGACATTCTGGAGGTTGCAAAACCCCAAAAATCGGCACAAATCGATAAAATCGATATTCTGGAGGTTTCGAAATTTCGGAAATCGGTAAAATTATTGAAAAACTAAGCGAAAAATTCGAAAAACTCCATAATAAGCTCATTTCCAGTGCTTTTATACAGCTGAAACTTTTCCAAGCAAGCTCCGCCCACTTTATACCCCACGTCACCATCGAAATTGAAGAAAATAAGTAAAATTAAGAAAAAATAAGCGAAAATCGCGTTTTTCTAGCCCGATTTACCCCCTTTTTTAGCCGTTTTCAGCCCCTAACCAGGTCCAGATGGCCGCGGGAAAACTGTACACGAAGCGGTAATAAAGAGAGGGGGAAAAATAAGGGGGGAGAGAGAAAGGGGGGGGGGGACCCCTCGAATACAAACTGAAGAATGGCTATCCCAGCCCGTCATCCCTACTCTCCGCGGAGAAAAAATTCAAAATATGCACTATCGCCTTTATATAGCGCCTCCTACGCTGGAGTTAGGGGCACGAGCTACCCCTAGAAAAATAGAGCTACCAAAACTACATGTCAATGGCCACATGAGATTACCCCAGCCCTGCAACTCTTAGAGATATAAGGCGCCGAAATCGCCCTTATTGACAGATTTCCCAAGTTCGGCTGTCAATTAGGCACTTTTAATGGAAATTTGTTATTCTACGACCTTCTCTCTAAAAATCATATTTTCAGAGATCTGTCGAATAAAACAAACCCCAGCCCCGTAGCTGTAATATTCGCAGAGTTATTAGCCCCCCAACATGCATGCTCAGGCCGTAAAATCGGCTCTCCCAAAGTTGCTCCGTAATTCCCCCAAAAATCATGTTAGACACCTCTCTTATACCTATACACACCATATTTTTTCCAGCTTCTTAGAAGCAATACACACTGATATAGCGCGCTCTTGGCCTCTCGCTCCTCACTCTTGGCCTCGGCGTAAGATTTGGTTAAAATATTGAAGTTCTCGGATTGACTGTAAACTTCAATCATAGTGGTTTTTGGTCCCGATCCTTACGAAAATCCTATTTATTTTGCACTAGAGAGTCTTACAGTAAAGCTAAAGTGAGTAGAAGTAGCTGGACCAACCAAGATCGCAACTTCGCCTACACTTTTCCCCTACCTGTTGCGGAAATTGTCTGCAAATTTTTGTGAGTTGAAAACTTTGTGAACACCTCTATCGGACCATGCTTAGCACAGATCTTTATTTGAATTGTTCGTCAGATTATGATGTTACAAAATCGCCTTCTCATGAATTGTCTTTCAAATTCGAAGGTCGTGTAATTTGGCAGATATTCTATCCTACAATGTGCTACCAGCAGCAAAACAATATAAGAAATGTTGTTAGCACGTCGAGTACAATACCGCTTACAGAATGTGCAAAATTTCCCTGAATATCGCAAAATTCCGAAAATTCCATAACAGACTGCTCTACATACAATACCGCTCATAATTCGTCAAAAAAGTCGCCGGACTGCGGCGGAGTGCGCCGGAGTGCGGCGGAGTGTGGTGAAGTGTGGCGCAGTGCGCCGGAGTGCGGCGGAGTGTGGTGAAGTGTGGCACATTGCGCCGGAGTGCGGCGGAGTGTGGTGAAGTGCGCCGCACTCCGCCACACTCCGCCGCACTCCGGCGACTTTTTTGACGAATTATGATCGGTATTGTATAAGCTAAAAGCGAGACAAAGAATGATCAGCAAAAGCCTTTGACTGGTTATGAACGAAGCATGCTAAACAATAGCTACCAATTGCCTCTCTTAAAAGTTCTTCGTAAGAAAGACTGTATCTATAGTTACATCCGAGATCTAATTTGTCCCATGCCGTAAGTAACAAAAAGATTGCATGCGCATAGAGGCTTCCGCATTCACATAGGTCCCCTATTGCGTAGATTAGAAGCAAAAGCGTGACCGAAATTCACCGCAACGTGCGGAATGAGGGCGAATAGGAATAGAAATGTGCAAACAATCGCTATTCGAGGACAGCAAGGGCTTCGAAATCGCAGCACAAGGCATCAAGTGTTGTATAACAACAATATACGCTAGTAGGATCTACACGCCACGCAATTATAAATAGCATGTAACATTAGTTTTGGATTAATTGATAAACATACTTGCACCGATGACTTGCACTGATGAGCTGATGAGGATTGGTGGATCGACAATTTCATCTGGTAAACGACCAACATAGCAGGCTCCATTGGGGGGCGGCTCTAGGTGAGCTGTCGCTATACTACTGAAACGAAATGACTTAGAAACAGACTAATATACTCGAGTTAGGTATATATTTTCTTAAAAAACTACTTCAAAAGCTGCTCACGTAAAAAACGAAGTATCAACATAAAAGCTAGCAAATTTACTTTTTTCGTGCTTCTCCAGGTGATTTAGGCTTGAATTTCTTGCATGGCTGTACGGTCTGAAATCGGCGAAAAATTGAAAAAAAAAACAGCTGAAACAGTGAAATTTTTTCCTACGGTAATTCTTTACGCTACTATGAGCACGCAATAAAGAGCTAGCCCGCAGAGCCCGCAGAGCTACTCTACCTAATCCACATTGAGGCGGTGCTACAAAGTTCAAATAGAGTCTGCCCCAATCGGGATAATGCCGAACCGCCGACTGAATTTGCGCGCGCGCACCGCTGGGGGTCTGCGTTGCATATGCGCGCTGTCGCAGAGAGCGAGATTCAGGGGAGAGCAGAGTGGTTAGCCGTGGACGTGACGCAATACTCTCGCGACACGGGTTCCCGCCATGCCAATTTCGGCTTGGTTAGGATAGGAGCAGACTGTAGTCTTACCTGTATAGGTTCAACTGCGGTACCAGCTATCACCGCTTGTATCGACGTTGGCCTAAGCAATTCGTCACGTTCTATAGCAAACGATGAATCACGCCATCTGTAACCAATAAATCCATGTCAAAAGTGAATTCTTCACTCCTGCTTCGGAAACAGATTAACTCACCCCTTTTTCGACAATCTACGCTCGCTTCATGATACGAGAAGTGGTCCCTGCCATGTGAGATTTACAGTATGCTCAGGTGACGTGACTGCTACAGCATGGTCCGCTTGATAGACATATTTAGTCGTGCTTCCATCATACATCTCCTAAAACAGGGAACTTCTTTGGAGTTCTGTGTTTGACCGAGTCCTAACTTACCCTGACAACTCGTCCATATTGATCGTATTCTCGAAGAACATGATGTTGTTCGTCCGCGGTCACCCACTCCAACAATTTTCCATCACTGTCCTCAGCCGCTACGAAGGCTTTTTTGGTAAATGGTATCCTGAATTCGATATTTTTGAAAGACTTCGACGATCAATATATCGAGTTTTATAGAAAAGCCGAAACTCGCCTTCTTTTGATCACTAATCCACTTCCAAAAGGGGTTGCAGAAAAATGGTGAGTTTCTGCTGCTGGTGTCGTTATTTCACGGAGACGTCCACGAGAATCAAACTGGAATTACAGGTAGTAAAAGACTGATAATTGCAGTGCGAAATTTATTGATTCCCCCATAAAAACCTCCTTGGAAGCTGCAATCACAGCCGTTGAAGAAATCAATAAAATCAATAATCGAAAAGTTTGTTGCAAAAAACTCAAAATAAAACTTCCTAATGTCAGTGATTTTCATGAATAAATTTGAAAATGTCGGAATAAATTGCTGGAATGCATTTCCAAGAAACTAGCCTTCAACGAGTATTTCAATCCTACTGGCAACTCTACAGTACTTGGATGGCGTAACTCCTTGGTATACATAAATTTCGCAGTGACTCCGCCCTTCACTGTACGTTCAACAATACGATTTTGCCGATCGTAGGTAACTTGAGTAGTACGATTACCCCAAATCAGCTCATTTCTGCAATTACGTACATTGCAAAACAAGCTAAAATTTCAAGAATTTCTTTATTCACCTTTTACCCAACGAATCATGGTGGATGCTCAGATTTGCTAGACGATATGCCGGTTCCAAATCCATCACTCCTTCTTGAGCTATGCTCTCCAATTCTCCGTTATCAGTATAGCTCAAACGCAATGTCTCATGTTCGGATTTAGCACTGATGACGTCACTTCGTGTCACTCGATCGAAAGTGACAGTAAAAGCGCTTACACCATTCATCTAATACAAGAAAATCAATTATCTGTTGTTGAGTGGAAAGGAAAAATTTCATACAAAACAAACCACAGGTTAGTCGAGCAAGGCATATGGACCTGGCTGATTAGCAATGCTAGGACTCAAGAAATATTATTAGGCATTCAATAAAAACCCCAATTATTTGATGTGATAAAATTCTTCAAGTAATTCGCTTGATGGATTTGCACATGCATATAATAGAAAAAACAATTTCTTTTCGAATACTCGCGGATGCCTAAGAAAGCGAAGAAAAGGAAGAGGTTCATAAAAAAATTTCCTTGCAATTAGTCCACTCTAACAGGACCATAACTCAAAAAGTCAATGCACAGCATCCTCAGTCCGCTCGACTAACCCTGGGTCGAGCGCCAATCTCAGCGATACGTCTCTCAGCACCACCACGTTTCAAAAACGGTCGCCAGTCAAATCGCGACGTCAATGCACGACGAGTGGGATTCTGAAAATTTGAACTGTGCAGTTACTTCCTCTACAAGATAAAAAATCAAAAATAAAAAATCACCTGGATCGCATCAATAGTGGTTTTCATCTTGAGAATGCTCGTTTCTCCATGAGCCGGATGGGTTTGGCTATCGAGGAGTGATATCATACCAGCATGGGTTACCGAGAACCCATCATCCATGTAGATGATACGAGAAGGCGTGTTACCTGTAATATTAGCACTTGAAAAAAGATTGTGAGGGCGGAATCATGATCGAAAACTGGTCCCCAGCTCCGGATACAAAATTAGCAATGCAAACATAGTAATACAGACAAAAACTGTGCTTACGACAATTTTGGAGCAAGGATTTTTGAGATTAGAAAACAACCATCATGAAGGTGGAGAGCAAAAAGCGAAAATGGTCCCCAGCACTTTCACCGAGGCAAAAAAGCACTGTAAGGGCGGAGCAGCAGTCGTACATAATGAATTTCCGCAGAGCCCACCACAATTAGACTCACACTTGAGCGTGAAAATCTTCAAAGTGAGAAATGAGGAACCACATGACTCTAGGAAAACAGCTAGTGGTCAACAAGTTTGTACCCGATTATTAGGCAAACGCAAAGACGACGCAAAGATATGGAATGATCAGCAAAAGCTTTGATTGGTCATGAACGAGGCATGATGACTAATAGCTAAAATAAAGTGAAGTCACTCACTCATGAACCCGATATTTTGCTTAATGCGAGCGTTTGCCAATCGGATTTGCGGCATCAGTGGTCTGAAATTGGAAATTTGGAAAAGATCCTCAGGAAGTGAAAAGGAATGAAAAGTAAAAGGCGGAACGTAGAAAGCAGTAATATGTAAATGACGAAATGTAGACGCCGACGCGAAAGGGACTCAGCGATACGCAGTTCGATTGGAGCACGCTTTCCTCCTTAGGAAACGGGGCCGTAGAGGCTATTTTTGCCTCTAGCAATGGGGCGAGGAGGAGGTTTGGGACCAGATTTTCAGTATATACTAATGTTTAGGCGTAGAATAGATTTATGTAAAAATTTTGGAAAAATTATGTGAATTGAGAGTTTTGCCAAGTTCAGCTTGTCATTAGCTTGTCAAATGACAAGCTAATTTGGAAATAAGTTGGGGAAACTCTTCATTCACATAAGTTTTTCATAAATTTTCATACGTTGTTACTTAGTCCTACTGCGCATATACACACCGAATCCCGCGCGATTTCGTCTCCTCTGCGTTGCAAACGAGCCACTTTTCCATTTCCTTGGTAGCGGGAAATTTTCGGAAAAAAGTTTGCCACAACCTTCAGTCACATAATTTTTCAATGAAACTCCTAAGTTAGCTCCTACAGGCTTGTGTCCACGTGCGCACCAAGTTTCATACCATATCGTCATCTGCGCATTGCAAACGAGCCATTTGAATTTACAACTTCATTTACCAATTTTGCAAAATCTTTGGAAAAAATGCTTAATACTCGTCCCGTTCACATAAGTTTTTCATAATTTTTCATACTATGTTTCCACTAGCCTCTCTCCGTTCGCCTACAAAATCTGGTGTCATACCGTGACGCGTACATTGAGAACTAGTCATGTATGCCGTTACAAATAGCTCGTTTGAGCGACGTCGCGCGTGCGGCAACTATCGACGCCGCGGTTTGACGCGCGCGAACTCCAGTCTTCGCATGTTGAGGCACATAACATGTTAAGATACGCAGAGTAACGGCAACGCTATGGAAAATGGATCAGATGGAGTCAGTAGAGCGCTATTCGCTGTCTTTTTTTAATAATAGACACAGCGCTCCGCCTTGCCCTGTCACTTTCGGCTGCACACGTCGTCGAATATGCTCGTCCTCGTCTTGACGTCCTTCATCCTTGGAGCCAGGGCCACTGAGCCATGCGTGCCCTACATCAGTGAAATATCAAACCTCACCTTTGGAAACACCAGGGATTTGCAATTCATTGAACTGCAAGTTGCGGAAAGTTGCCGCACAAATCGTAAGGCCATGCAGGAAATGATCTTCAGCGATTACGGTCTTGTCATTCTTCATACAAAATCACGAGAGGTGGGCAATCAAGCGTCTTAATTCTTACTTGGTAAACAGATTTACAGAAAGGAGATCGCCTAGCATTTGAGATGAAGACATTCGTGAAACTTGCGAGATCGCTATGGCCCAAGCAACGCCATGAAACCAACGCAAAGAGAGGTGGCCGCAGAGTTGCTGATGAATTTCTGGCCTTCTTTGTAGTGAGTGGGCCAGCTGCACTTGCTCCTCCTGTAACCGCCGGTGATCGCTCTGGAGAAGCGATCAACTGGGTTATGTACACAAGCGGTATCGGTGTCAAGTGCGGATCTCTCATCAACTGGCCGCACTGCGAGCAGGCAATGCCTCAGGTGTTGTTATCTTTGAACAGAACCAAATTTTCAAACTTTAATGCAAGCACTCTTTTAGGGACAAGGATCTTTAGACAGATTTTTGGTAACCGAATCGCCTTCTCCTATTTCTGTGCATATTTCAAGCGAAAAGGAATTGCTGCAGGGTCAAACAGTGGTCGTCCTCGTGCAATTTGACCACAAAAAGAGGAAAGAAGAAGCGGATTATTTCTCGCGTGCGTTCAGCTACAGTTTGATTCCAACAAGAACAAATATTTCGCACCGGAGTTGGTAGTCACGCGAGAAAAGCAGGAGTGGCTCTCAGCACGTATCAAGGATATCATTGTGCTGACACCCTCTTTGGACGAAAGTGAGATACTCTCATTGCACCGTTTGAAATATCTTATCTCCCCACATCTTCCCGTTGCGATTCATGTTCTACCGGAAGGTTTCACCGCCCTAAAAGGGGACGAGTCCATTTCTCGTTGCTCTTCGGACGAAGATATATTTGCTGTCACCAAACGGGCTCCCGGCACCGACAACCTCTGCGACGGCAACGTCAATTATCTACATAGAACACCTATCACAGAACTTTGCGAGCCGGATGTAACACCTGAACACAATACCACTCCCGAAGATATGATTTTGGACACTGAAGAGTTTTATGAGCCATACCTAGATATACTCATGAATGTGGATGACGTTGCAGCATCAACATCGCAGCAGCCAGCCACTCCTGCTTCCGCAACTCCTGCTCCCACTACTCTCATTCCTACCGCTCCCGCTCACATCACTCCTGCTCCTCATCAACGCTCTTGCCCAAACTTAGAATTGATTCGGAAGCAGGACAAGGCTATAATCAGCCTCAATCGACTTTTAGAAGGTGAAGAACGTATCCAAAATCAAGTATGCAATGTAGATGCTAGAGTAAGACAAATCCAGTCAAACTTGAATGAACAAGAGGAGTTGCGAAAAGCAGCAGCTGAATACGCGACTTTGGAGGTGAGAAGAAAGTTTGGAAAAGAAATGGATCCCGAACTCCAAGATAGACTAAGGAGGTTAAGGCACATCGGCATCGATTTTACTGACGCTCAGATAAAAAAGATTAGTCATTCCTGGCTGCAATTGGTACTGGACGATTCCAAATCGCCACAGGAGCTTTTAATGGCACTTCTGGCAGTTATATTCCGAATTACAATGACTTCCGCTTCCGCGCACAGACAGCTAGCGCTTTTCGCTTTATGTGCGCACAGAAAATCTGTCATCCGCGGCATACATTGTATGAGCACCATCTTAACAGGGGGTGGTGCTCAAGTACCCTAGGGCTCCACTGCTCGATTTCTCTCCGGAAGGGACAGCTTCTATGGTATTAGTCATCGAACAAGTATGGCTGATGTTTCCTCGTCTTCCTTCTGCTGTTCTACACCCAACGAGAGACGTCGCAGTTCACGTTACTGGGATGGAGGAAGACTATGAGAAAATGCAGGTCAGGTCTTTTCTAAAAAATCTCATACTTGTTTTTATTTGCTTGCATCAATGACATGATATCATATTTTACTATCACTAATACACCGGTGTTTATCTAAGGAACGGAGTCGGCGTCGTCTTTCACCATCCTCGATGCGGAGCGACGACCCAAGAGGCGCCCCAGTTCAGGTTATTGGAGAGAAGGAAGGCTATTCTTTGCTAAAAAAACTCTTATTTGAGAATGTCAGATTATCATATTTAAATATCATTACTTCTTCGTCATTATTATTCATGTCGGGAAGGGCGTTCTACACTCAATGAGAGGCGTCTGCGGCGGCTTTCAAGTTCCTCGACGCGAAGCGACGAAGCTGGACCCTCTAGAATTGAATGGCAATGAGTGAAAGCGAAACAATATTCTTTATTTTTCGAGTCAAAATTGATGTTCTTTTTGTTTTCGTCTTGATAAAGTTGTAACAATGCGATATTTCATTCTATGCAAGTCCAGATGAAAATGGCTCAGCTTTGCCATCGTAACTATCAATTTTTTTCCGGGGCTCCGCCCCGGACCCCGCAAAAACGATTTCCCCTTTGCTTTTTGGCCCAAAAACGATTTCCAGCTTGTCATTTGACAAGCTCGTGCCGGGCCCTAAGTCGGAAGAATGCAACTCTCCATACAGTTCAAAGGTAAACCGGATGCAAAAGATGCATTACCGAGTTTTGCGAAAAAAAGCGGACGAAGTGAGCTTGATACTCAGCAGCTGGCTCTGCAACAAAGTCGAATAATCTGAATACGGAGTAAATTCGAATACGAATTCGAATAAACATTCGAATAAAACATTCGAATAAAATCTATTCGAAACCCTGTTTTTTGATTATTCGAGTTTCGAATTTTATTCGAAAATGGAAGAACTCTGAATATCGAATTTCGAATACGAATATAATCGAATGTTTTATTCGAATGATCGAATTTCTATTCGATTCGGACCTAAGTATACTGTATGTATACTCACCGGTGACACTCGTCTTCAAAATGAGGCTGCTTACAAATTTCAACATATTAGATTGAGTGCCTATCCTTCTACCTCATGCACCTTTCTACTGCTCAGAGTTCTAACAAGGACAGTGCCTACAGCGCAGTGGCTGCGCGCGACGCTTGATGCGGTCTGCGGGTTCGATGACTTGTGATCGCAGGGCTTTCTGAGAAGGGCGGCCAACGAACGCCCTTCATGCCAAAGTTGTGACTCGCATTGAACGGTTATGACCGCGTCTTCGCTGAGTTGTGACGACTTTGGGGAATTACTACTGGCCTTGATATTTTACCGCATTTCTGCTGATCTGATGCTTACGGCTGCCTGACGCATTTTGAGAGATAAAGGTTGTTCTCAAAAATCATTCAAAATTAGCCTTCCAGTGTTTTCTAGAAATTAATACAATCATCTAGTCTAGCAGTTTACTGTGAATGTTTATACTTTTGGTTTCGTTCTGCTGAATTATCACCTCTTTATGCATACCATGTAAGTTCGGGTTTCAGTTAGAAATTGTCAATAGTTTGTTCCATTTACAGGTTATCGAATGCAGCTTATTATTGCCAATGTGTGATATTCAAAAGAAGATAAAACATTCTTGATTTGCCGGCGCATTCGGAACGGTTGTCCAACGATATGTGCACCCGTTGCGCCAAATGATCTCTCTGTACAGACAAAAATTATTAGATTTGCATATAGCTATATTTTTTCATGAATCTGTGTGCAACATTCATTTTTGTCATGTTTCTTCGCATTATATCTTGTGGACATGATAAGTGTTGATTAATTGGTTGATTTGTGGTTGTTGATTTAGATCCTTCCACATACCAAAAAAAAAGCTAGAATTTATAGGAAGAAATACTGTGGCCTGGTGCCACTTCGTTGCTCTGCTCCCGATTACCGGCTGGCGGCCGTGCGGGTACGGGCTTGGCATCCGGCTCGACCGAAATATTATGTTGTTCCGGACGGTCGTCGCGCGGTCACCGGCCGGTCCAGTGTCTGCAGGACAAGACTTTATCAGACTGTATCACCCCCTAGCACAGCAAGTCATGATTATTTGCTAAGAATTTTAGAATGGTCATGATCTTGAAAGAATTCTTTTGATACCCGCCCAGTAATCCAAAATGTTTCAAATCCATCGTTTTACCTTGTTCAAATTTGCCTTGTTTTCGAAATCCTTCAGGTTTTTGGAAAAGCTTTGATAATCTATAGACAGTGCAAACCTTTTGCAATGACATGTTTTCTTTCATCTCGCCAGGATACATTCTAAAATTTCTGCAGATTATTTCATGGAGTAATCAAATACAAGTTCGGTCAATCCATCAATAGTAGCATAACAAGATAAGCAGATCAGGTACCATTCAAAGCATTTTTCTGCAATAATGGGATCTTTTCTTTGCGGTGCACACAAAAAAAATTTGACGAAAAACTGCGAATTTCTCTTACATATTTATGCGGTCGATACCGCAAATTTTAAGATCTTGGCAATTTGAAGCAAAAACTTCATTTACTTTTCACCATCAGAAATAATTATAATTAGGCGAAAACTTTCGTTGTTTGTTTTTTTTTAAGTTTTGAAGTCTTTCAAGCATTTGTTAAAATCATGATTTACGCCCTTTCCAGAAAACTTCAACTTTGACTAAAATATATTGGAAAATTCCGGAATCACTTGGAGAGATTAGAAATTTTACATCGCAAAGATTTTTCTTATATGTTAGCATCAAAGCTCATTTAACAGTGTAAAACAAAAACTTTGGAAATTAGAGATTTAGAGAAGATAGAAACGCTACAACATTGGAAAGGAACATTGATTATCTGAGCGCTTGTTAGATAAAAACTTTGAGAGCATTGCTATTGAAAAAAATCTTCTTCGAATTGTCTCGAGATATTAGAGTACTTTTATTCTTAGCGAATTGTGGATCGGCTAAAAACGGCACGAACGAAGCTAATGCGTTTTGACGCCTTATCAAGAACTAGTAAAAATTTCAATTCTTAACGCCTTATCATTTATTATTTATCAACAGAAATTATACTGAATTTGAAACCGTTGTTGGGCCGGAAGTGCAAGCACGTTCGGCCTCATTTTTTTACTGGCCGCGAGAAGTATCAGATTTGTCAAAAATTTCAGAGGTTTGGATCTCAACAAATCTTCATTGATTTGTGTCTTCACTGCCTAAGGCTGTCTGAGGCAGATTATGAAAAGGCCATTTTAGAACGTTCAAATATTAGGTCGTTCCGAAAATTCTTTCCGTTTTTTTCAACCTATCATAAAAACATATGGAATGAAGGTAGGGAAACATTTTAGGCACTATCCGAAGCATCTTTTCTTCCTCTTTTCAACGGTCATGTTCTTGTGCCGCTCGCTCTTGTGGTCAGTGAGATAATGTCCGAAATTTGGAACCCATGGTTTTCACCATGTCCAACTTTGGCAATTTTTCAAAATCTTCGTTTTCAACTTTAGGAAAAGTTTTGTTAGCAGTCAGATAGAGTAGACAAAGTGCAATTCAATGCAATTTTTTGGAAATTTCAACTAACTTTTTAGTATTTTTTGAGATAACTTTTCCAGAAGTCTTCACTTTTTTAAACTCACAAAACACACAGACGCTCCGAACATTAACAAATCTTCGGATTTCGACACTTTCAAAAGTCGTTTATGATTGTCCACTATTTTTACAAAATAACTGAGTGTTTACCGCTACGAAATATAAGATTTCGCATTTCACGTGTACACCCTTAAGAGGGGTCAAAATCAAGAATTATGGAAATTTTTTCGCCAAAACTTTCCACAAATTGGGGAGAAAAATACTCAGTAGAAAGAGGAGGAAAAGCTGCATCGAATGACACCTTAGTTGTGCGCCGTTTTAGGCTCTATAGTTCTTGGCATCACCAAAAGTGGAATTTGATAGCATCAGAAAAATAATTCTAAGAAATTTTTAAGGCTAGCTATAGACGCCAAAAAGTTCCTTTAAATTGCATTTGTTTACTTTATCTGACTGCTATCAAAGCTTTCCTAAAGTTGAAAACGAAGATTGTGAACAATTGCCAAAGTTGGACATGGTGAAAACCATGGGTTCCAAATTTCGGACATTATCTCACTGACCACAAGAGCGAGCGGCACAAGAACATGACCGTTGAAAAGAGGAAGAAAAGATGCGTCGGATAGTGCCTAAAACGTTTCCCTATCTTCATTACACATGTTTTTATGATAGGTTGAAAAAACGGAAAGAACTTTCGGAACGACCTAATATAAGAAAATCTCAAAAATTGTCAGTTTTCGATAAATGAAAATATTAGGTCGTTCCGAAAGTAATGTCGCTTTTTTTCAAATAAGCGCCGCACTTCAAGGAATCAAGAATTTCAAGAGATTTCAAGGCCAATCGATGCAGAATTTTTTCCTATTTCTAACGGTTGTATTGACAATGTATAATACTCAATGAGCTCTCGAAAAATACCAAAATCTGCGACTCATGCTTTATGCCATGGCCAAGTTCGGTTATTTTTCTAAATTTTTGTATCTAATCTCCGAAGAAATTCAAGTGACATTTAGATAGAGCACACCCTATAGGACGTATTGCAATTTTCTTCTTTTCATTAGCTGGCTGCTTAGAGTCGAAATTAATTTTTCAATGCCATCAAAATCCATATTTGGTCAACCCAAACCTCACAGAACAATAATCGGCAAGCAGCTCGGGTGTCATTCGACGCAGCTTTTTCTCCTATTGCTACCAGTTGCTCTTTGTTCTCGATTTATCGAGTTTTCCAGGGATGAAATAATCATAACTCAGGTTTCCAGAGCGCCCCAGGCTGTACCCGGAATTTCCAAAAGTGGCT